GTGGGGGGGGGGGGGGGTTGGTTTTTTGGCTCTTTTGTGGCTGGAGCAAAAACATCATTAATATATGAAAAATATGGCTGCTTGAACTTGAGCCCTCTGGTCCATTTTCTTGAGCTGGCTTCAGGTACACAAGTGTCTCTGTGGCTTGCATACTACTACTCTGAAGTGTCGCACAGCCTTGAAAAAGCTAATCTGAAACTAGATTATGGTCCACTTCACAATTGTAAACCCCCTCCATCTCCTTGGGTGGTAAACTGCTAATCTGTGCAAGGAGGTCACAAACACCTGCTTCTAAAGTGCCAGTCTCGCTGACCACAGCTAGCCTGTCCTAGCTCTAGACTGAAGCAATTGTAGAAACAGGCCCTACTTGGGGCTATTACACTTAATAGTATGTGGTTCTTCCAGACAATTCCTACATGCAGCCTTATAGTGATGACCAGTACCCCATAGTAAAGTATCTGCGGCAACCTATCTTCCTTGAACTACAAGTCCTAAACCGCAACGATCCCAATCTCCATGTGGTACTGGATGACTGCTGGGCAACAGCATCAGAAGATCCAAGCTCTCTGCCCCGATGGAATATTGTTGTGGATGGGTAAGTGTGACTTAATGCTTTTGGTGCTGCCTACAAATACTTCCTGAAAAGCTGCCAAAAGGACTGCTGGGAGGACATGAAAAGAGTGACTTGGTTTTATGAACACCTCTGGATTACCCTTGGCAGTAAAGGGTTGCTGGGGGATTCACTTGGAATGCTGATCCTGTTGATCTGTGATGCTGAATGACTTCCCACTCCCATATGGCAAGCTAACTTTTAGTATCTGATCTTTGGAGTTAGTGTTAGGAGTCCTCATATCTAGGAGGTATGGCTCTTTAAATGAAGCTGCCAAGTGACAGGATCAGTTTTGCCAGTGAGGTGGTGGCAGGGTCTGTAGGCCACCCTCACCAATGACCTGAAGGACGAACATGCTGGGAGCGAGCCTGTCAAGACAGCAAGCCTACTGATGTCAAATCTTACATTACTTGGGTATGGATTTAGAAGCCCATACAACTTACTTCCTCCTAACCTGTTTAGGTGTGACTATGAATTGGACAGCTACAGGACTGTATTCCATCCAGTGGGTCTCGCAGTCAGCTACCCTAACTATCGCCAAAGATTTGAAGTGAAGACTTTTACCTTTGTGTCTGGAGACACGGCTCTCATCAGCCTAGTAAGCAGCATTCCTCCTTGCACCTATCTAAAAGCTGGCACAGTCTGTAATCTTAAATGGCCTTGTGTCCTCTTTTTCTCTCTCTAGGTATACTTCCACTGTAGTGCTCTGCTCTGTAATAGGCTTGAACCAGACTTTCCTCTGTGTACAAAAAGATGTCCTCTGTCTAGAAGCAAACGAGGTAATATCCAATCTGCTTCCCAGTCAATGTCACAGCAATAGCGCCTTAATCTAACAAACTAGCCAAATGGATGCATATAGAAATACCCCTGCTCAAGAGTCATGTGGTTTTTCTAGATGCTGGCTTGCAAGGGGAGAACTCTGCTGTAGTGAGCTTACCTGGTCCTGTTCTTCTGGTGCCAAGAGAATGGTCTGCAACCCAAGGTACTGGCCATCCTTATTTTCTAAGTAGCTGAGGCTTTGTTAGAGCCCCCCTGCAGGGGGGGGGCAGGGAGTGTCATTAATAATAATCTATGTGGCCTCCCCCACAGAGAGAACAAGGGTGAGCAAAGGAACCTGGACCACCATTACAGTGATGGCTGCAGTGATCCTTTGTGCAATGGCTATGTTGCTGGTGATTCTCTTTAAATCTCTAAAGAAAAGAGCTGTAGTGGTAAATGCTGTATGTTAGTTTATTTTTATAACAAAATAAATTTAGTTTAAAGATGCCTCTTGTGGTAAACTCCACTCTCTCTTTTTGTGGGGGAGGGGGAGAAGGCTTAAATTGCTTGTTTCTTAAAGCAAACAAAAGCTAGCTAGGCTTTCTATTTTTCATCTCTGTTCCCTCCCCTTGGAGGGAAGGGGTGCTATAAAGCATGTCTTGTACAAGGACAGCTCTGCCTCCTGCAGTCAATTGGGTTATGCTGCTTCCTGGAAGCTGCTTTTTTTTTGGTAGAGCGCCTGCTATAGTAGCCAAACAAGCCTGCAGTGAGGGTTACCACAACCTTGTAGTGACTGCTTTAGCAGGCAGCAAGTCTGGCAGACAGTGGCTTGGTCCTACCTACACTGTGTGCCCTAAAGAGGTAATGAGCAGGGCTGGAGTCCTGGGCAAACTCTGCAGGGGAGGGGAAGCAATAGAGGGCCCTGGGTTGTGAGAGCAGGAGCTACTTGCCTCCAGCCCCATGGAGCCAAATAACCTGGCCCACAAGGCTACTAACATCTGAGAAATCAAATGTTAAATGCTGCTACTCTAATGCCAGACTTCCAGGCAGCCTCATGGGCCAGAAACTTGGTGAAAAGGGCCATGTTAAGGTTCTCAGCGTGATTGCCATGTGCTACTGCTCTCTACCAGCTGAGGGCAACTCTTCTGGCAGGTGTCTTACAAATGAAGACCCACCCACTCAAGTGCCACTCCAATCCCTTTCCCTAACTCTAGTACCACTTTCTGCTCCATGCCTTTTTAAATCTGCTACTATGCTGCCTGCCCTCCCCTGATCTGAGGTATGCCCCCCTAGATGCAGGCTGGGTACCTCCCAAGGGGTACACCCAGCATGGGTACTACTGCTCTATACCAAGCCACTTACAGAAGGGGAAGTATGGAAGCTCAAGGGTAATAGTTGTGATGGTGGAAAATGGTACTGCTACTACTTCCATAATGCCACTGGTACACAAGGATCTGGCTGGAGTGTCTTCAGAACCTTCCCCCCTTCCCCTTTTTAAGGATGGGGTCTTCTGGAGCCTCTTGGCTCCACATTACCTGAACTCTTGTAATAGCCAGTAGGCTAAAGAAAGCAACTTGAGTTCTAATTTTGAATAGGCTCTCATTTTGTACACCTCTCTTACAAGACTCCTGCTTACAGGGATTTTTAAGTAGTACTCTGCTGTGCTTGCTGTGAAACTCTGTAACTAAAGTTACATTACCCCTATCTTTCTAGAACCAATGGAACTTGGAGGCAGGAAAAGTGAGAATCTTCTTTCTTTTGGGAGGGGGCATGGGAGGAAAGGATGCATGCATCCATCCCCTAAGGAACTCCTACTCATTGCATGTCTCACTAATAACACTACCTGCAGGTTTTACTTTCTAGTATACAGTATGGTTCTCCATGCAGAACCATGTATGTATACAGAACATATTCCCACAGTTATGTACTAGGACTAATCAAATAATAGGGGTGTGCAAAATGGATCCTACTTGATCCAAATGGGGTTGATTCAGATCATTGTTCCTAGAGACGCTGCTGATACTGAAAATCAGTGCTTTGCACACAGACACAGCTTTTAAATGGTGGCTAGTATGTGGGGGTGGGTGTGGGGGGTTCTACATACCTCAAGGTGCCAGTGTGGCTTCTGAACACTGTAATGCTGGAACAGATGGAGCATCCCACAGGGGCCAGGCCCTCCTCATGCTTGGCAGTGGACCAGAAGCACTGCCAGTCCACTCCTAGGTCCTCCCCAAGGAGCACAGTGGGGGCTGCACTCCTTCTTCTGTTTTGGCAATTGGCTGCAGGGGGGACCTGTGTGTCCCACCAGACTTGGAAGGCACCAATTGCCAGGAAGAAGGGTGTAGGGAGGCCCCCTGGCCCCATACTCCCCAGAAGTACTTCCAGTCTACTTCTTGGTCTGCTGCTGGGCATATGGGGGAGCCCCCTGCACTCCTGTGGGGAACTCAGTATGCCTCAGTACTGCAGCATTCACAAGCCACCTGCTATGTAGAAATATGTAGGGGGAAAAAAACACTTAAAGTTGTCTGTTGGAATTGCCAGATCTCTCCAGACTGATTTGGAGGGTTCTCTGTTTCAGTTTTGGAGAGCCAGCCACTGAACTGGGCTGAATCTCTGCCAAATTAAATTGGGGACCAAAGATTCACACAACCATATAAATAATGGTACTAGACTGGCACTACCCATGATGCCAAGTATCTGAAGGGATGAAATCCATAATCAGTGATCACTTCAACACATTTCTGTTTAGCCTATTGTTATCTACTACATATAGTCTAGAGCTGATCTCAAACAACTGTGTCAAGAACTGTTGGCAAGAATTGGCCAGGTCTGTATGCCAACCTTCTCAGTTCTTGAGAGTTGTGTGCAAGGCAGGAAGTCAATTACTCAAGATCCATTTGTATCTTTATCTTTCTAGTATATGCTAGCAATGAGGGTTTAGGTAATCATGAGAGAGGATCAAAACTTGAAAGTCTGAAAATGTAATGAGGTTCATGGTCCAAATGGAGCAGCTAAAGACTTCAGCAAAACAAATGACCAATGATTCTAACTTTCTTCTAAAATGAAACTTTCAGCTGTCTCCTACCTTCACCAATTTAATTCCTATTTAATATCATGAATAAATATTAAAAGCAAAACACTTTGATATTTCTTATGTCATTCTACATGGGGGGGCAGGCAGAGAATAACCTTGCTCATGCTGAACATATTACCTTTATCATAGAGACCAAAAACCAAACCCAACAACCCCTCCCCCCAAAATACCAAAAATTCAGTTGGCTATT